AATGAATGAATGAATGAATGGACGAATGAATGAATGAATGAATGAATGTGTGAATGAATGAACTAATGAATGAATAAATATCCCTAAAAGCAGGAAAAATTTTGCTTTTTATATTTTAAAAACTTTTCTAAGGAAACGCTAGCAGTAAAACGGAATTATTTTTCACCTTCAATACCATTGAACAATACATGCTCATAATTTGTAGCACTAAACATACGAAATTTTATTTTATGCTTTTGTGATTATTATTTATTTATCACTTATTATTATTATTATTATTATTACTATTGAAATTATTATTAATGTGTTATTTTATAGAATATCATCATTATTCTTGATAATACTGAAACCTATTACTTGAGCAAATATTCAAATAAGTAATAAGAAAGTAAAAAAATTCCATGCAAGACAAATCTAGCAGTTTGTTTTAATTGATGAAGAAGAGAACATAACTTCTAAATAAATCATTCCTTTCTTGTAACACTTTTTTGCTAAAAATTTGCTTTACAATTTTAATAATATTAAAATTATTACATAAAAATAGTATTAAAATAAGAGATTAGATTTTCGTAGCAAGTGTACTTCTCTTATGCTAAAAATTCCAATTTTTCGTAAATCAAAACTTTTTAATTATTCAAAACTTATTCGCATATTGCATTTTCATATTAAATTGTGATGATATATTGGACAACAACTAATAGTATAAAAATCACTCAAATAATATTACTTGCAATAGTAAAAAAGTGTTTCAGTGCTTCAAATCATTATGCAAATTATGACAATTAAAATAATAATTTAAAAAAATCATCTGTTCTTACGATAATTAATTTTTGCCTTACATATATATCTTTAACATACTCATGTTAGATATAAAATGCATTAACTTTGATCACAATTAAATTTCTGATAATTTTTGATAAAACTTTTATTACTATTATTTTCATTGTTATAGTATCAGAATTAAATGAAAAAATATTTATGTAATTTAATTTTAAAGCAAATGACAAGTGGTACTGAATGCTTTTAATATTTCAAAAAGTTACAACGATTTAAAATAATTGTAATTTATAATAAATATTGCAGCTCAAAAAAAATATTTTCATTACAATTGAAATAACTTAAACAATTAAACAGTTTCAATCATTAATTTAAATACTAATAATTGAGAACAAATTACCTTAAAGTAAATAATTTCAGTAATGCAATTAATGTAATGGGAAAAAAACTACGCATAAAAACATTTTGAAGAGGAATGTAACGAGCAAAATATTCATTCACACATATTTTATTTGTTTAAAAAAATCTTAATTTTAATTTAATTAATTTCAAAGCATTATTTTTATTCAGTGACATTTAGCATTACTTTGTATTTGATAGACTTAACTATTTAATGATAAGTTTAACTAAGTAATACTTTGCATAAGCAAAAATAGAAGCATGAAACTTTAAAGTATGACAATAATGTGATTTTTACTTTTATTTACAGTTATAATGAATAATTCAAAAGGAAAAATTAAATATAACATTTAAAATATTCAAAAATGCATCAGAAATCTGTCAAAACCATTTTGGGCATAACTTGACAGACGCAGAAACAAAATAATAACGAATGGCAATGTTTTAACAAGGAAATTGCTGCAAAATATTTTTCTTTGCAGATTCTTGTTGCAGAACTTTTTGGCAAAAGTAGTGCTTGAGGAATTTCATTTAAGTCAAATTTGTTATGAACTTTAACCTTTAGAGCATATATAAAAGAGTGTAATTTTTTTTTTGATTTTTACGGATTAAAAGTAATACACTTTATGAATAAAAGTAGTTTCTTCAAATTACTATAATTTTTCTGATATAATGAACTGATCATTGAGTTACGAGTCACTACTGTTTATGAGTAAGAATATTTGTTCGGGTCAGATAATGATTTAAAAACGTTGACAGTACTCAGTTGATTAGTACTATGTGTAGCAAGAGCTAACAAATAAGCATATAAATAGATTGACAAGAAAAATATACACAAAATAAATGTTATAAAGTTGAAAAATTGTCGACAATAGTCTAAGAAGTGACTAAGATGGCCCAGAAGTAACACGTCAAAATCTAGCCCAACGACGACAATGCGCTCTGTTCATTTTTAAGCTATAAGTGCCTCAATTTTAGACATATATAAGTACATCCATATTAAAATGCCTACAAGTAAGTAATTGTTAGAAATTACTTGGTAGAAGAAGCATCTCCTTGACAGCAATACGTCAGCACTATCTATTAACTCATTTGTACATTACTTGAAGATCAAGAAAAATGCCTAAATGGTCACTTAGTGTTCAGAATCCATTACACTAAACAAATTCAGATACTGAATTTTGATTTGATGTAATTGAATACGACATGCAGAATAATTACATAAACAAAAATTGTTTCTGATGACTACAGTTATGTAAATTAATTATGTTGCCATAAAAATAACAATAACACTTCAACGAATATATGGCTAATTTCACTGCTCATTTCTTATCCACTATTTTAATAATGACAATATTAATGTTGCTAATAAAGTTATTTATAAAAATTATAATAAAAATTCAAATTATTAAAAAGATTAATTACTAACGAATCAATAAATTCAGATGCTCATATAGTAAGAAAATAGAATATAAATTGAAAATTTATATGCAATAAATGGCTAATTTTATCGCTTATTTTAAATATAGCCAAAAAATAATTGACGTCTCAAATTACAGCTTAACTAAGAGTGCTCAATTATTTACATCAGAATTGTTTTTTATCAAGTTAAGATAGAATTTTGCTTCAACTAAATAAGCTTTTTTGAATAAAGAAGCTTATTTGTATTATCAAGATGTTTTATTATAATATACAACTGTCTTAGCAGCTAAAGATTTAAATGATAATTAAAAATATTTTTAAAATGAGTTTGTATTACAAAACGTGTATTTATTATTATTATTATTATTTTTATTATTTTTATTTTTGTTATTATTATTATTATTAATATTGAATATTCACAAATTATGTCGTTCATTATTTCATTCAGTAATTAATATTTTGCCGTTGATTTGCGGTATTTATGTGTATATTTAATAAAAAAGTTAATTTTTAAATCCATTCTATTGGCTTAATAATTTGATAAACATTTTTTTGTATTAAAATTCAATTACAAATTTCATTTTAAAAAGTTTTCAATAGTTTATTATTAATAAAATTTATGGTAATAAAATACTTTGCAGTACGCCACGATAAAATAAATAGTCTGCGAAAATTTATTTCAAATATTTTATCTCAATTTTAAAATATATGTAAAGCAAATCAGTCATTGTTGTTAAGTTAAGCACAACAAAAGTAAAGTACTTTTTAATAATTGCTGCTTGCAAACCAATGATCGTACCAAACATTGGACAACAACAAAAGCAAGTTTCTGCAAAGTTTGACTTAAAGTTTAACAAAAGCAAATATGAGATTGGATTCAAATATTTGACTCTTTGAGTTAGATTAGTACTAAGTTGTTTGCTTGCAAATTATTAATTTACCACTTTAGCTAATATAGGTGCTATTATTTTCTCTTATAATAACTTTATTAACAATAAAAAACAAGATATTAAATAAAATAATTATTGGATAATTTGAAAATCTGTAAATGAATTAAGTAAATTTCACATGTTTAGAGATGATAAGAGTATAATAATCATATAATTATTGATTTATTTGCCTAGATTATTTATATGATCTGATTAATTTTTGGAGCAGATAAATAATTACTCGATTTTGTACAATTGATTATTGCACTTGATCAGAATAACAGGAGTAACAAGGTTATGCAGTAAAGTAATAATGAGTTTTAGTAATGACCTGATCAAAGTTCATTATTTCTGTTGTGATTAGCAATGCTCACAAACTTTTCAGCCCTGATTTGTAAGGCAAACTTTCATAGCATTTGTTATCATTTCTTGAAGCTCGTAGTTAGTCGATGCTTTTCCCTACTACATCAGTCAATTTCCATCATTATTAGCACCTGAGTAGCATTAACTGCTTAAACTGATGATCTTTTCACTATTACTATACTTACTTTTAATCAATCTTTTACTGATTTATTATTGATTTGTTGAAATTTTAAATTCAATCAATAATTGTTAAAAATGTGAAACAATTACTATCTGATATAATTACTATAATACTGTAAGTCACGATGTTTGCCAAAAAATTTTCTATAACAAAAAGTAATCACTTACTTGAAAAGACTATACTTAATTACTCAAGATAAATAATTGATTTGGATAAAAGATTCGCGCAGATTTAATTTTGAATTGAATTTTAAGTCAGACAAAAATGAGGGAAGCGTATAATTTTAGCAACTTGTATTATCATATTTTATTGTCAGAATTTTGCTTTCTTTTCATTTCATCGATATTCCTACCACATTTTTCTCTTTTCCCACTCTTTTTGCACCGTTAAAAGCACCATTACTAAACGGTTGTGTTCATCAAAAAGCGATCACACATCTTGCCTTCTAGCACACAACCCTTCCATAACTCATTGTTTTTTAAAATAATGTTTGCTCATGTGTGTATCTATGTGTATGTGTATGTGTATGTGTATGTGTGTGCGTGTGTGTGTATGCCTGTATACGTGCGTACGTGTATGTGTTTGTACGTCCTTATGTATGCATGCATGCCAAAAAATATCTCTACGTGTGTATATATATGTTAGTATGTAATATGCCTGTCTGTACGTGGGTGTATGTATATGTGTCAGTATGTACGCGCCTATGTGTGTATGTGTAAATGTGTGCATGCTCATCTTTGAATATGTGTGTAAGACCTTGTCGTTAATCACAGACAAATGCTTTCACGTTGGTTGTTGGTCTTGTGAGAAATATGTTTTTTGACTGACTCTCGTAGTTGAAATTAGTTTTTCTGCGAAGTAAACTGATTTTTCTAAATTTTGCGTCATTTTACGTACGGTTTTACACTCGTTTTTACTAAATTACACTGCTTAATTTGAAACTCAAACTAAAGTATAATCTCAAATGCTTCAGATATAATTTTGTCTTACTCTCTCTTGCATTTTTCATTGATTATAATAAAACGAATGATTTTTGAAGATAAGAGAGAATGGTGTTTGAGTTGTGCACGTATATTAAATTATACACGTGATTAGCTAGCTGTTGTTACGCTGCAATATTTGGCAATATTTTAAAGCACTCCGTCATGTGGTATTAGTTTGGCAGTTATGATGATGACTTTGAAAATTCTCACATGATTCTGCATGAGTTTGTTGAAATTTTAATTGGAGGTAGTATGTTCTGTGAAGTTCATTTCAAATCATAGTGTTAATCAAGCCAGAAGATTACTGTAAGAGATTAATCTGTCTGAACATGTGCTGCTAATCAATTTAGCTACACGTCAAGGCCGTATTATAAACTTACTTGGTTGCTTATCTTGTAGCGGAGTTTATAAATTTTTGTGGCTTTATTTAATAGGGATAATCAGGAATATTTTAATTTAGGCTAATTTAGACTTTAAATAACATAAGTGCTAATTCAATTACAGAAATGAAATGATATTATAATTAACATTAGCGTAAGATAGCTCTAAAATTGAGATTAGTTTAAGAGTTGCCAAGCGAGTAAAGCATATTTAAAACGGTGGTTAGCTGGTCATATGTATTGAAAGTCGTGGAAGTATCCCACGTAAATGGGTTGTATGGTTTTGCTTGTAAGGATTTCATTCACATAACAGAGGTGAAAAATGTAAATAATTTTGTCTGAAGAGTTAAGCTTTTACTTATTATGGTGATCATCATTGACAACACTTTTCTATTTTAGGTAAAAATTGCATATTTGTGAAATGACAACTCAGATTGATGGTAAAGGTGACGCACTTCAAAACAGAAACGTAAATAAACATAGTGAGAGTAGCAGGAAGGCTAGTAACAAAGAATTGACAAATGGAGGAGGAAGAAAATCAAGAAATCATTACACCTCAAAAGAATCTACTAGGGAAGAAACTACTGTTACCGACAAAAGAGATAAAGTTGGAAGGGTGAGCTTGTCGGTTGATTTAATTGTTACAATATATGTTTCATTAAACGATTTTTATTCCTTCTATTTGTTTCGTTTTCATGTACCGTCAACTTTATTTTAGATGAGGAAAAGCATTCGTAATCAAAGGTTCCAGTAAGTCCTTGGTATGTGTTTACAAGTTAAGAAAACGTTTTAAAGGAATCACAGTAAGACTTATATTGTAGAGAAGCTATAACCGACGAAACACGACGGGAAACAATGGGGAATCATATGGTCGTAGCAAGTGGAATAAAGATAGTAAGCCACGATCAAGATCTATTAATATGACAAAAAATGCAGGTGATGCTAGTATAGCAGAACAAAGAAATCGACATCTTGACTGTAAGTAATATACGAAATATAAAACTTGTAATATACAAATGTTAGCTTAGAAAATATATCAGCTACGTGTGCTTTCTGTAGTTCATTTTAGTTGTTCATCGAGAAAATTATCCATGAGATGTAATTTATTGCGAACATATTTCTTTGACTCTTAATTTTTTCAGCAGTGTTACCTACGTTGATATTTTAAAAATCAGAAATATGATTTGTAAAAGAGGTTTGTATCAAGACTTGAAACACCATATAAAATTTCATTAAAAAATTAAAATCTGGACTGGTTAGTGTAGAAGAGATTTTTTTGCAAACATGACAGTTGAAAAGCTTGATTGTATTTCTCGATTTTGCTTTTTATATAATTAGCATGGTCTAATCGTGTTCTGGCTGCTATAACTTTCTATTCTTGAAATATTATTCAGTAATAGTTGTGTATTGATAGCATATTTTAGCAGTGACTGAAACACGAAATGCTCAAAGATCAACAAATTCTATGACATCCGAAGGGTTTGTATATGATGGAGAAAGTACGTTTTTATCAGCTGTTTAAAATGTGTTCAGTATATCGAATTTTCATCATAATTTGAGGTAAAAAAAAAATTCATTGCTATTAATTTCATATTTAGTGGATCTGGAGGAGCCATTCAGTGATTCGGATGACAATGATGCCGTTAAAGGTTTGAAGAAACTTTCACTGCAAATTCCACGAGGGCGCATACGTTCTCTGTCTGGCACTGTTCCAGCAGTAGGTTATAGGTAATCATAGTTTTTTGTAGCACGTAAAATTAGCGAGACTTTTTAATTAATCTATCCAATGGTAGCTCATGTCATTAGGCGACTGAATGTTAAGAATGTATGAATTTCAAATATGAAAGGCGATTCTTGCATATTCAGTTTGCTGTTATAAGTGCTAGTTCATTATAGCCCGAAATGGGGTGGTCCTACAATGTGTTTGAGTTGCTTGCAATTTTTCGATTTTCCAGAACATCATGATGTGTTCTCAGAGTAAGTTCTCAGGCTACTACATGAAATTTGAAAAGAATCTTGTTTAAAGAAAAAAAGATTTTGGTAAAAAGAAGTTTCTCTTAGTTAATTTTTTATTATGCAGCTTATTTTCCATCCATAATATTTTTTGCAGACATTTGTTGAACGAGCATCACATTGTCATAGTCGAGATGAATTTGATCGTCGATCTGAAAAGGTTTGTTATGGAGAACTTGTCCCTATTTCGGTTGCACTTTTTGCAATTTCTGACTAGGAGATTCTCATCTGCATCAGCTTTGTATCAGTTGAAAGAGAAAATTTCGACATGTTTGAATAATCTGAAATGGATTCTTAGTGTTTTGAAACTTCACTAACATTATGACTTGATGTTTCACCAGATAGTATTCCTATTAATTAATTTGTATTTTTTAGATATGTTGAATACTGGAGGCAGCGTTTTGCAAAACAAACTATTGACACGATATTTCCAACCAAAATTCCCGATGAAAATAGTGAGTACTATGGTAAGATAGATTATTTCTATGAAATGAGTGAGATCGTACCAGAAGATTATGCATTACGACAAAAGCTTGCAATGAGACGCTTGGAGGAGGTACGTCATAACTGCTTGAAAAGGAAAACGAAATATGTAAAGTTAATGTGCACAGTAATGTAATGTATGTAAGGACACATATTTGTTTTTATTTTTTAATTTTTGAAAGTTACGTTTGCCCAAATAGGAATTGTTTTTGAAAACAGAAAAAACTTTTATAGACCCAAAAAATCTTTAGGCTTTGGCTTGTCAACAACGGGAAAGAGAAGACACAAATTTCGTCCAACAATGTATTTTCTGTCGGTACACAGCTCGTGGTAATCGATCAAAAATTGTTCACCATCTCTATATGATCCATCATTTGAATCTCGGCTCTCCGGATAATTTAGGTATTCTTTTTGAAGTTCGATGCCTTGCAGTAAATATTTTTTTTAAGCCCTGCACTTATTTTTATTTTTGCATAGCTCATTTCTAATCTGTTGAAATGTATTAACACTTGCTGTTCTCGTTCAATGTTAGTTGCCTTCAAGATTATTTTTTCAAGTGTTTGTCACCGAATACATCGAATATCTAAAGTCGAGACTTCTAAGGTAATAATTTCACTTATTTTTAGTCACTTGAATAAGGACTTGGTAGAAGCAAAATTTTCATAAATGCATTAGTGCTTCGTAATGCATGAATGTTGCAAGTGCCTGCTATTTTTGATATTCATGCAAACTTCATTGTAATTGCAACAGTTTTCAGATATGCATTATCATCTATTGTAACCTTTTTAGCAATGAATGCATTTACTGTGAAAAAAGATTTCCCGACCGCAACACTTTAATGGATCACATACGTAAACGAAATCACAAAGAAGTGAACCCTAAAAACAGTTACTATGACAAGTTCTATATCATCAATTATCTAGTATGCTCATTTATAATATCAGCTATTAAATTTAATATAAAATTTATACTATTCTGTTTTACTGCAACACACTCCCTGATTTGTAAAAATTTATGGAATGTTAAAATGTGTATCTTAGGTTTCTCCGTTTAAATTTTGTACTTTCGATAAAAAACACATTATTTTTTGTTCATGATCTATAGTTAAGGAGTTGGGAAAGCGCTGGTTAGAAGTTTTGAAAGAAGATTTTGAAGATACTATGCCAACATTCATTGATTCTGACGAAGAGGAAGAAGAGTGAGCTACAATTTCAATTATTTCTACGGTGACCCTGGACGTAGTATTTTAGAATTAGAGAATTCTGTTTATATTTCAATTCGGATATTTTAATATTTGTTATTGATCTTATATGAAAGTATTAATGTTTTATTTTATGTGATCATATTTCAAACGTTGTTGAATTCGTTTTACTCATTAGTTTTATTTTTTAAGTTTATCTGTTTCAGAGATTCTTGGCAAGAATGGCAGGAAGATAATATAGATATGGAGCAAATTCGTGTTATATGTTTGTTTTGTGAACAAACTGAAGATCATGTGGCGCCATTACTTGAGCATATGAAGGCAAGTATATATTTCCATCATTGCATAATATTGGTAGTTTAGGAAAGTGGAAAATTACTGAAAATATTTGGTTATTGACGAAGTAAACATTGAGGATTAGTTTTTTTTTTAAACTTGTCATTTATATCACTTATGTAAAGATTTATATTTTTCATTTACAGGATGTTCATCACTTTGATTTACTTAGTATTATCGAAAGAGAAAACTTAGATATTTATGATCGAATGAAAATGGTCAATTACATACGTAAAGAAAATTATAATGCAAGATGCTTCATGTGTGGCAAAAATGATTTTGGCTCGTTACTAAAACTAAGACAGCATTATATGGAAAACAATCATTTGTCAGAAGGGCTTCCTGAAAAATCAGTTTGGTGCACCGAAGAGTTAGTTTTGATCAAGGAAAAATATCCCATATATAAGCAATTTCAAATCAGCGTTCAATCGACAACCTTTTTCAACAAAAATATTCTCATGAATCTAAAATATGAGTTCAACCGTTTTAGAAAAAATAACTGAGTCGTCAACTTTAACGTCAAAATAACGCACCAATTGCTTCCTAATTTTGATTTATTACAGTTTTTGTCAAATTTCCTGTAAAATGATAACTAAACTTGCTTTCTTTTGTTATAGGAATTTGATACCTATTTTCGGTAACGATCATTTGGCATGGATGCTTGAGTCATACATCGATGAAATTTCTTCAAAAGCAGATGAAATGCCACCTGCTAATGGAGGTGTTATAGAGTACCTTTTACAGCAAAGTGTAAAAAATACTGTGAAAGGTGTAAGTGTTTTACTGATTTGTTGACTGAAGGTTTCGTTAGAGCTTCATTTCTTTCTCATTATGATCAGTACACAGTAATGGTAATATTTTGTCTCCATAATTTTTTTCAATTTGAATGTTTGCAGTCAGAAAGTTTCTTGTACTTTCCAGGAATATGCCTTCAGTATTTCGTTACATAACTGTTATCTCATTGCTTCTATTTTGGTTTCAGAGTGATTATTAGTTTTTCATGTTATGACGGGAGAAACAGAGAAACAGTTGCGTACAAATTTCATGAAAACTTGCAGATAATTTAACTGTAGAAAGCGAAGTTTAAACTAATTTACGGTGCACGGAATGAAATGAAGTTCTACACTAGTTTGTCATATCTTTTTTCAGGTAATAGCGGAAGATTTTCCAGAATTGAAAGATGGCACACTTGCAGATTCAACTTTATACGAATCGCTCAAATAAATGAGAATTTGAGTTTAAAATGTGAAAAGATTTTAGAATTGACTCGGAGTTTTTGTAGGCACTTAATGGATGTTTCTTTTTAAATCATTTCAACACCATAATTCGATGTTGCTCACCTTTTAACAATTAACTATGGTAGCAAGGTTTATCTTAATTACTTTTAAATATATAAGTTAACAGGACTTTACGACCATTTCTACATTAAATTTTTGAATTCACGACGTTGATATTTTTAATCTTGGATTATTTCTATCACTTTTCATAATGCATAGGGTTATAGTGAAACATTTTGGCATGTTGTAGAATTTGAGTTAGTGGCACGAGATTGTTATTGTGTACGTGGTATTTATTTACTGTTAAAACAGCAACAGCATACGAGTTTCTTCTTTATGGTAGCTGGGTTTCGCTATGAAAATTATTCCATGGTATATCAATATAAATAATTAACCGTATGACTGGATTCAGGGTTTTTTCTTAGTGCTTCTAATTTATATGCATGACAATAATACCATGACTAGAACCTAAGGAGCTATATAAGTAATGCTTACTGGTTTAAGGAATGGGTACCTCTCTTCGCTCCTATCAAAGATCACTTTTTTTCTTTGTTATTTCTTATTGGAGTACACTGAACATGCATCACAGACTGGTGGATTTGGTACAAAAGCATCATTATTTGTGTTTAATCTTTGTTCATCTTTGTTATGTTTCATTTTTTATGTATGATAATTTTCCGAAGGCATGTGCTTTCAAACCCACTTGATCGTTGGCGTTAGTTTTGCGTTATATCTCTTATTTATAACGCCATATTCGTATGAAACTATCTATTACGACCGGTTTATCTTACGTACTGGTTTTCATTTACTGTTAGTATTCATAAGGGTGTTCTCGTTTATGTAAATAAAAGTAACTGTTGTCTTGCTAAAGTGATAAGCGCAAAAAATGGATGCTAAATTGCCGTAATGAGCAGCTAACCAAGTGACCATTACATGGTTTAATGTATTTATTGTGAAGTGTGAGATTCGAGACCAAAAGATATGGAGTGGTTTCATCGATTGAGTGATGAGGTTAAAAATAAGATTCTGAGATGGGAGCAGAAATTTCTTGCAATTATTGTGACATATGGGTACTCAGAATATAAGAAATCAGGAATTCATAGCCAACGAAAGATTAATTGGTAGTATGTGAACTCTGGGATTCTTGCACAAGACTCAACTAGCAATATGAGTACATTTCTTGTCAGGAAAACATGCGAGAAATAATTATAAAACCAGTTCCAAAAGACCATGAAACATACACCACATAGAACTCTGACATTTGTGCAAAAGATGCGTAGATGGCAGCTGCCATTATGTCGTACCTTTTTTCCCTTTACTGATCGGTGTTTTAATTTTCGATAACTACAAAATTATTAAATATATTTACTTAGTGCTATACTTTTAGTTATCAGGAGATAAAGAGTTTGAAACTCATTATCAGCGGCAAAAGCTTATATAATAAGCAAACTCAGTAATTAATTATAATTCGATTAATAAATGATCATCTTAAGAGAAAGGCCGTAATTGCTAAATGAGTCATACCAACTATTAATTATCAAGAATATGTTGAGTAGAAAATATTTTGCCGAAAAAATGTGAAATAAGCGGGATTTCTGGAAAAAAATTCGAATTTAAAGTCAGCAGACATTTTTATGTTATCGTTTAGAACTAGGGATTTTCGGTTCTTAATAGGATTTAGATAAAAGCTTTGAAATTTCTACATCAACTGTAAGTTTTTTCAATTCCCTCACTCAAATTTGATGCTTTCATAGCATTTGTTTGATATTATAATTTATTTTGCTTACAAACTTTTAAACGTATTAAATTTTTGATTCAAGATAGAATATTAGAGAAATAAAACCACACTCAAGGAACTATCCAAAGAAGTTACCAATATCTTTTCTAAAATCACTGAAAGTACTCACTGAATACAATTTTTAAATACTTAATGTGAATTAAAAGGATACGAAATTACAGATGAGCAAAATACCTTTACTATTGCTTATATTAACATCTCTATGCATCAACAACAACTGCAAGCCATATTCGAAACAAAGTTACGAAAATCGAAGTGACCCACGTGCAGCATCAGAAAGCATCGAACTGGATGGGACCGATGATGAAATGGACAACAGGTTTTCTAATGTTCTACAAAATATCCATGGTCGAATCGGAGTACTTGGTCCAATTTAAACTGATTAAAATCATCAAATGCTCATGTGATTCTAGTAATATAATTGCTGCTTATTCTAATCCGTGTTTTTAAATCCTTGCAACTAAAGATTAAATACTTGACACACTCGTGTTTTCCATCAAAAGAGAAAATCACTTACATATAGGCGACTGACACCAATGTTCAACTCATGTCTCAGATTAACAATCGTGTTCGTCTATTGGCTTTTTAAATCATTTTACGGATCAAGTATATCAAATCCCCACCTACGACACGCCACTAATAACGTTTCGTACAATGACTCCCTTTCCAAATAACACTGAAATCCTAACAATAATATCTTTCTGTAATTACTATTAATGCGCGCTGAATTCGCTAAATTTGAGATTTTTTGAAAGAAAGAATTATTACAGTGAAATCAAAACTTATATATAAAGAATGTTCTTTACTACATCAACAAATTTGCGAACATTGTTTACATTCTTCACTCTATCACAAATTGAGAAGTTAAAGATACTTTAATTCAGATAACAATATTCAATTGTCAATAGTAATTTTAACAGCACATTTTGAATATTTCTAATTTCAAAAATTCCTTCATCAACATTGACAGCATATTTTGAAAACCATACATGCACTTCCGTGCTTTCCATAATGATCTTGTAAACTGGTTTTAACAATTTTTGCCCGTCCCACTCAAATCCTGATTGCCCAATACTTTTACTTAATGCATGGGATCAGAACAGATCTTGGATAACGTTCAACGAGATCTCGCCAGTGGACAAAAAAAATATCCAATATTCTAGTTTTGTACAAAATCTGCCCTGTTAATGATAATTTTTTTACCCGACACAGACTTTCTATGTAGAATAAGCGTATGTTACAAAGTCTAAAAAAATCAAAAAGAGCTGCAGCAAAGCAGATTGGTATACAAACACCAGGTCCGTTGCATAATACCACATCCGGTCTGAAAGTGGGAAAATAAGTGAATCATCTTGTGAGTTTCTGAAATTCGTTTTAATGACTGTAAACCAAACTCAAATATATAAGTGAACAAAATACGAAATTTAAATTAATCCACGCAAAACAAATACGAAAACAATATTTTTTTCTCTATCGACAATAAATTACAAGAGCCGAGCATAACTTTTTGAGAAAAAAATGGTGTTAATTACAAGAAAACTGTCCTATAATGACCCTAAATTTTTTGTCTATTTTCGTGCCAAAAAGGTCACAAATCACCTTAAATTCCATACTAACAATAAGCTTTGGAAGCAAGAAATCAATGTCGTAAATGCCGATGTGACGTAACTTTGTCCCACTTCACGACTTCTGTTAATCTGTTCTATTTGAAAGTGCCCTACGTCCAGAGATTTCTCGAACTCTATCACCTTCAATTTGCTATTTACTACAAATGCAAAAAAAAATTCAACTTTCTTCAGACCTTTAAACTTTTAAATTTCGATGGAAGAATTTTTTCTAATGAAAATTTGATGATGGACAGGTAAAAAGGCTTCGATTAATTTATTTCACTGGAAAGCACCTACGATAATGATGTGCAAGGAAAAAACCTAGCGGTAGAATTTATGGATGCAGAACATGCCACATCAATCAAAGGAATCTAAGATTCACTTCAAAAATTTGACAAATCTCGATACATTACTTTTTGTATACTTAATTTATCCGTGTCAGCAACTACATATATACGATGGTGAAACTGTTTTTCGAAGGCAGCCATTAAAGACAACAATTCAGTCGAGTGCCCGCCTGAAACCAACAAAAAAAAGCTGATCAAATAAGTTTTTCATAAGATTTTTGTTTGGATGCTTGTAAATCTGATTTCAACACTTTAATAAAAACTTGGCCCTAGAAATACTTGGAAGTAAAAAAAATGTTTCCCATAATTCGTGCGAAAAGTAAACAAGAAGAGGAAAAATAATTTACCGGATCCAAGCACAGAGCATATTCGTAAGGGAATACACGGACTATAAGTATGCTTAGTTAGCTGTCCAACAGAGTAAAAATGACGCTTGATGTACAAAAAATAAAGCGTAGCAAAAAGTACTAGAGTAACTAAAAACCCAGTTTGGATCAAGTACAGTCCACTATTGCACCAGCACCATATCTGTGGTGACATAGGCACCGTAAAACCAATCTACTACTTTCTACTCTCATCTTTGGGATTACAAGTTGCATAGCACATCAAAGGCAAGAGACCACTGGGGTGCAATGTGCAACTTGAGATCTTAGCACTGAATTTCTTTCTACGGATATCCTCAGCTCTCAAAATAGACTCATGACTGAATAGTCAGTGATAAGAAGCGTAGATACTGCAAATATAAAATATTTATGACTTTTTTCATACTTGTTGATAAGATGTCTTTGTACAATTTCTTCAAAAAGCCTTAAAAGCCTTAATTAAATATCTACAAAAAATTTGCTCTCTTTCAGTTCATACATTCCGTCTATGATAACAATGAAGCAGTAAAGCGATTTTCAAATTGTAAAAAATAATATACTTAATTCATATTTCAATACTAAAGCAAGAAGTAAAAGTTCTCGTTACTTATTTCTTATTAGTAATTAATTGTTGTTTAATGCTTCTTATAGAAAGATAAATGAAATTTATAATACAAACAGTGATCACAAATATTGCAATTGTTGATTGCAGCAATAAATGATTGCCAAACATTTTGTATGCCGTCAAAAGGCATCGATCACGTAACATTTGTGAAGCATTCTCACGTGGACCTCTGAAAAATTATTTTGCTTTGATTGAAATTATGTACGGGAAGAATTATTTATTACAGTTTTTTTCAGAACAGAAATGATAAAATAATTTCACTTTTTTAAGATCTTATTTTGCATATTATTTGCTTAGCAGTCAATATGCAATTAACTACAAAATCTATAATAATTTTTAAAATGTTTACACATGGTACTTGTAGAGTACTTGATATAAATAGTAATTGATTAATAATATAAATAAAATTAAGATTCTGAATACGAAACGTTACGAGAGCATTTCATGAATCAGAAATGAACCTGATGATATAACAAAGAATATCACTGTTATCACCCAAATTTATTAACGATATATTATGTAATATGATATAAGCATGTGTTCCTATAATAATAATAAATCATTTTAGATCAAAATTTGTCACGAAATTATAAATATAATGGAACATAAGTACTGCTGCTAATATCCACGTGAAACATTCTTAAATCAGAAGCTTTTCCGATTATTCTATTTTATTTAATATCACCAGATATGAACGCATGTAAACGTGTAATACGTGAAAAAAATACCGGTAATAGATGCATAAACTGCGCTAAGGAGAGAAATAACTATGTCAACAATTATAGTGCGTTGGTATGATGCTGTGGAAAAGAAAATTATCAGTAGATAGATCATTTTGGGAAAAAATACCATCAAGCCAATGCATATTGCCACTGGTGAATACAAAATGCGAATAGCAATCATCTCAAATCATTATATTATCTCCAAATCATTTCTGTATCATTTTTGATCTGACTTTGATCTGACTAATCGTATTACTGTTTAAGTACTGAGATAAAAAGTAACAAACAGTCTGACTTGATGTCGGAAAAGTCGGTAATTCGAAATTAGTAACTTCTGATAACTATCAGGCCAAATCTGACCATAATGATTGAATCGAATGCTTAGAAACATGCCTGAATCAATTAAGCCACAAGCGAGGAGAAGCTATAACTATTTAGAGTAATAATTAGTTTTTTTACTAAATTCTGTAACTTCAAAAAGTTGCTCAATTTAATCGTCGTTCAACAATACCTATCACAGAATTAGCTGTACTTATCATTTTTTATAGTGATAAAAATTAGTACATTCAGTTAATTACCCTTCTGTTACCTATAGATGAATGAATTTAAATTACGTGCAGAATAGCGATCATCATTAATCCATTGCCACCATTTGTTCGTTTTTTCAGTTTCTTTAAGTGCTGTGTTGCGCTAAGGAACAAACTCTGAATTCAGTTTATTATTTAATTTAGATTTTTTTCCAATCAAAACTAGTACTATTTTATTTTTATCTAAGTACCAAAATATTCTAGTACTAACAGTTAACTACTATATTATATTTATAATATATCGTTGTAGCAGTTTCAACCGAACTAGTGATTGATTGACTGATCTGCTTGATGTTGATTTAGTCTACAACATTAAGACAAAAACCAACAACTAAAAAGTACTGTCTTCACTTCTATCTCACCTTATGACATAAATCTACTGTATATATGAAAACAATACATTTTTTGTAAAAGTAAACTTGTCTCTAATTTGTACGATCTATCTTTATGTAACAATTTAAAAGATTTGTATATTTCAACCTTTCACTTTTCAACTTTATACTCATTCCATTTTGTTATATTCATAAAAAATAAATGAACAATTCAGTACAAATTTAACAACCTGAGATTTCCCAGAAGCATTACTTTGCATTTTCATAAATGGCAACATACTCGCGCTTCCTTGTGAGGATGTTCGCATCGAATTTGTTTCGGTTAAAGTGACAGTCATTTACAAAATATTTTTATAATTTTTTCTCTCGGCTCTTACTTATACTTTCAAAGTAAGTATTAGAGTTAGTCTCCAAATATTTTCAGGTAGAAAAATGAAAGGTTTTTGCAAAATTTTGTTGCTTTTATTGATGAATAAAATTTGCATATTTTAAACTCTCAACAAAAAAATATACTAATTACTGAAAAAATACTAATTAGTAATACAACTAATACTTTGAGTTCAGTCTTTTGCATATTAAATCAAATTGTTTACACTTAGCAGCTGCTTTTGACTAGAACTGTTGTGATGAAAAGTTGCTTGTGTTCGAAATCATAAAATTTACTCAAAAAAAATGACATAGAATCAATCACTTACATATTTCAAATAATTACGTGAATTTACAGTGTGAATGGAATCTTTCATGCTAGAATTAACACGTAAAGATAATAAATTAATTACTATACAGTTTTATTACTTAAAACTGCTCATGGATTAGAAAATTATTCTCTTTGCGATCTGTGAAACAAATACATCAACCAAAATAATTTATTTATTGAGGTCAATCGGCAACTGAGAGCATGCATGATGCATGAATAATATTATTTGACTATTCTTCGTATTACGACTGATCCGTCTGCAAATAAAAACTTCTACAGAATTCTTTAAACAAAGTATTCACATTTGTCATTACTTAAACTGAGCTCTCATTTTCATGATTTTTACTTTTTCCACAAATTTTAGCTAATTTTTTTGCAATTAAAATTTTAAATGTTATTTTTGTTGTTTAAAAAATACAAATAACAGTAAATATATATGAAATTTCCGTTGATATAACTTTTCAACTAAGGAATTTTAAATTAAATTAATGTTTGGGTTTGTTTAATTTGAAAATTTGTTTCAGGTAGCGTTTAGCGAGTTAGTTTTCTTAAATAAATTGAACAAAGGGACAAGTTTGTGCTAATTGCAGTAAATATCAACGGTTTGAGTTAAACAGCTCATGGTTAAATTTTATTAAACAAATTTATGCTTTGTTTGATTTGTTCGCAATCAATCAATGCTAATTTAACGAAAATCAGATTACTTTTAGAATGTTTAATTTTATTTGAATTTATTACATTTTGTGATATGACGAGAAGTTATTTACCTGCAATAAATTTATACAAAATAAAAAATAATTGTACAGAATATGCAAATTACTTAAATATGTAAAGACGTAATATAGCTTAAAGATCATCAGAGTTGAATTAAAAAGCTCTTTCATTTGCGAAAAACATCAACGGTTGAGCAATATAAAATAATACACTGCATAAGTAATTTGACTTATCGAACTGTTTTCCAAATAAATTTAAAGCTTTTAAGCTTGTCAGAAGCATGAATAAAAGTAAACCCAAAAACCGCAACAGAGCAGCCTGAAATTTAAAATTAATTTAATTATGAATGACCGAAAATCAAAATTAAATTAAGAAATGGTATTTACATATATATATCATGCAACAGTGTGAGGACTAAATTTAGTGCATTCATTGCTTAATTGATAAATGATTGGAATTAATAAATTAATAATCGAAAATATAACTTAACATTTTTGACTTCTGAGAAAAAATAAATTGCCTGTAACTATTCATTTTTTCCCGTTATTGTTAATTCATATTACTTAATTTTTGTTTATTAATTATTATTATCATTATTATTATTATTATTATTATTATCATTATTTTATGGTTTCAATAATTAGTTGAAATCAACTGCACAAAACAATAGCTATTACTCATTGTGGTCTCAAACTTTTCTTCACAACTTATTTTTAAGTGTTATATTTTCATGAAATAATTGAAATGCCATGCAGAAGAGGGGAAATTGATAAGAATTAAGCTTAGAATAATTCGCCTATCATAAAACACATATAATAGGATTCAAAAATACGAAAAGAAAGAGGGGATTTGCTTTTTATTAATTATTTGTGCAGTTTCAAATTTACAAAAGCAATTAAGTGATTATTTTCATTAGCATAAATAAGTGAATGTCTTGTATAACTGAGCATTTTACAAAAGTATAATTTTCAAAATAATGACTGTAAAAAATTGTAAAATTTAAATTTTGATAAAATTGCAAAAAAAAAGAGGGAAAAAAGGAACTTGTTGGGCATTAACGCCTTTTGATCCATACAGCCAGACAGACCCCGCGGCAATGAGTGATACTGCGGCAACTATGAGATTAACTGATAATGAGATCACTAGAGTTGGTATTGATCTGATCATATCAGCAAAACAAAAATACAAAAAAGCGATCAAATAAACTGTTACTGCAATAGCACATCCATGCCACATTCGTTGTACATAGCCAATAAACGACAATGCATATAATGCCTGAGCTATTGTAAATACTGCACACGTGAATTGCAAATTATTGCGCCATTCTGACGTATGTAAATATACTCCAATAGCTAAAAAGTTAATAAAAAAATGGCTTACGGGCAGTATTCATTTGAAATTCAATACATCTTAAAACTTCATTTCCAAACTATTTTGATATTTATTAGTTATTTTTTTATTCTGTATTTTGTTCACATGTTATTGCATTTTATATTCCATAAACGACTATTTACTTATTACAGTTTTATACAACAAATATTAGTAAATTCATAATTAGTTCATTTTTCATCAAGTATTTTTCACGTAAAAGCATACTTTTTCACAATTTGAAAAAATTTTTGCAAATATTTTTTCATAATTTTGTTTTGTTCTATTTCAAAATGAATTTTCAAAGTAATCTATCTTAATTCATTTTTTATGTTCGGCATTAGGAATTTTAATTTTTTTCAGTTTTTCTCGAACTTTTCACGAAATGACCTTAAATTTAGTTTAAGTAATGAAAAAAATTTTAACTGCACAAAATGACAACAGTCAAAAAAAATTAAAATATTATTTTAGTAACTAAATCAAAAGTAAATTATTATACAACCAAAAATCTGCCAAAATTTTGAGTGTAAAAAATATTAACTTTGATTATTATTATTATTTACTTTGAAATGTAATTACAATTCACTTATTTAAGAGCACGCTTGTCTAATTAAATTTGAATTATTGTTGTATGAGGGCAAAAGTGCGAGAGATTTACAAATTACATTTGTGAAATAAAATTCTCTTTTGAATTTTCAATAAAAAAATTTTTTCTAGTTTTTAAAACGCGTAAAAAATTTTTGAAAAATAATTACAACAAAAAAAAGTTTTTTTTTAAAAAAAGAACTATTAATAGGAAAAGAATTTTATTGCTTACCAAAGGCACAAAAAGATAAAGCAGTAAATTGTTTCGCTGGCGTTTTCATCCGTAAAGTTAGCGTTAAAATAGCCAATGATAATATTGGAATAGCGTTTAAAACTGGAAGATCACGTCGGAATCCATCAGTTTCTACGTAAAGCAAGCCGCATAACCCGCTATATATAGCTAACATTTGGGCTGGGTTTGACAGCGGGAAGTCAGACATGCTAGACTGCTATAAACTTCAATATTTGTGTACATTTATTGGCTTGAATTATTAACACGTAATTCACGTTTACAAAAAAAACAAATATATTAATTAAATGCAGAATAATTTGTAATAAAGGAGAATCAGCGAATAATTACAAAATAAAAATTACAAGAAAATTAATTTAAAAAAACTGAATTGCTTCTTATCGCAATTATTTTGAACAGAATAGCTTTGCAAGGGAGTAAGTGTAGTACAAACAAAAATTATTTAATACTTTTACAAAGTAAAGTTTTGCGATTGTTTTCTGTTTGGTTTCAATGACACAAAGTATAAGGAATGAAAAATGAAAGAATAATTCAAAAAAATGAAGTGAATAAATAAAAGCAAAATTTGAAAAAAGCAAAATGAAGAAAGAAAGTTTTATTTTTTCTATTTTTTATTAAAAATACAAAATTAAAAAAAAATTATAGTACTTTTCTTTTAATTTTTTTCAAAAATTTTTCTTTTTTCGATAAGTAAGAAATTGAATTTTCAAAAACAGAGTGTTGATCGTAGTTGTTTAACATTGTCCATTGAAAAACTTCTATGAAGTGCACTTAGATAGATGATTACTTTATTTTTTGAAGACTAAGTAAAATAAAAACTTTAAAATTTTTATTATTTGAGAGAGGAAAAAATTTAAAAAAAAAGAACTCAAAAATTTTGAAAATTTCAAGATTGAGACGAGAAAAAATTGAAAATTGAAGCTGAACAGTACGTTTTTTGCATGATCAATTGATTAAAGCTAACGGTGCTATAGTTCTAAATTTACTTTTATATAAGTTCAAGTTTGAAAATAACTGTAATTCTAATTACTACTTTTGTTTAAACAAAATTTAATCTAAGTTTTTTGATGGAAAGGTAATCTATGAATAAATTTAAATTTATAAGTAAGAATTAAAATTAAGTAAAATTTTGCAAATGATAAATATTTATATATTTTGGATAAAAATTAATATTTAGAAATAGCTTGCAAAACAAATGAAAAAATATTTTCAATTTAGAAAACTTTGCAGATGACTTTTTAAAATGATAGTATTTACTTTAAACTATTTTGTATCAAACGTAGTAAGCAAATAATTATGTTTAAGTACTCGTAAATTAGACTAATCTTAGCAAACGAAGTTAAGTGTTCTAATCAATAAGTTATAAGTCAAAAACATAATTAGTAAGAGTGAAATCAAAAACAGGTTATGATTAGAAGTGATCACTTGACAGACAAAGTTAAAATAAATTGGATATCTATTCACTCACGTGTTTCATTTGTGTGAAAGCTTTTTTTTCAAAACATATTTTGATACGTAATCAATTACTACTTATACTTTGGTTTACTCTGAAAGCATTTATTTTAGCTAATTTCGTTTTGCTATCAAAAATGAAACATTTTGAAGAAAAATGAAATTTTTGCAAGAAATATTTGAGAGATGCAAAGTGTTTGAATGATAATTAAATACTTGAAATTTTGGTACTTATAAAAAATTGAATTCACTGCGAAAAAGTAAAAAGAGACTGATATTTAGAGCAAAGGTCAGCAAAATTTTAGCACTAAATTTGTTAGTAATTATTTGCAAGCACAAAAAAATTTTATTGTATTATTTTTTAAAATTAGAAAATTTAATTCATTTTTTAAAAGTTTTTGTAAATAAACAATAAAAATTAATTTTAAGTAAATTTTATGCTAAATTTGTTTTTAATTTAAAAGTACGGTATTGACATAGCTTAGAGTTAGAGTTAATTTTACTTGTAATAGACGCTTATTTTCACTTCTTAATAGTTCATACTAATCCCTGCAGAGTACAAAATTTAACACACACAATTTTTTACCGCAACACAGTCAGGTAAATATACGTACGTGTATTTAGATAAATTTATGGACGTAGTGCTTATTTAACAACCTAAAAACATACAAAAAACATTGTTTTACATTTACACAAATATATACGAAGTACAGACAAACAGGAAATATTTTTTGCGTACGTACGCAAGCACATTCTGTTCATGCAAGAAAATACGTATTTTGAAGTCATTTAAACATTGATTTTGTCACAAAATTTGAATTTACACACTAATTAGTTTCAAAAAATGTCAAAAGATAAAACTGAAAAATTGTCTTCGATAAGTAATCAAAGCAAAAAATGACTTGCAATCTCACAAATAAAGGACCAGTCATAGTTTTTTGGTAAAAAAGAATAATAATAATAATAATAATAATAATAATAAATGATTTTGTGAGAATAAATAGAAGGCAGATAACCGGTTCTGAGTAAATAATACTTACCAACTGATTACTTGTTCATTTCAGTTCTAACGTCAGTCAATTTGGTTTTGTTCTTTCCATCATATTTTCAAAAATTCTTCCTCTTTTTTGTTTAGTTTAGCTTATTCTTACTTTTGTTATCTTAATTATTTGCCACAGCTTACTTTATTTTTTACTCTGTTAAAAGTTAACAATTATTAAATTATATACGTCATAATTTATCAAAGTTAAATATAATAAATTATTTGATATTTTCAGAATTATCTTAAATTCATAACTTGCACAATAACAATAATGTTTTAACGTTTGCCAAAATTTGCCAAATTCTACTTTTTATATCTTCCTTCTTAATTCTTTATTAGTATTTTATATGTATTAGTATTATTATTATTATTATTATTATTATTATTATTATTATTATTATTATCGATATTATTGTTGGTATTATTATTGATATTAGTATTATTTCATGTACGTCCAGTTACATCCAATTAGTATTGCTAATAGTTTGCTTTTTCTAAATTGAAGTTTTGTGGCGATGTTTCAAAGAATTTAAAATTTTTTATCAATAAATACCGAACAGTGCGAGATAAAATGATCGCAGGCAAGAAGAAAAATCAGTAGACGAAATTAAAGGTATTTGATGACTTTTTAATTTTCAACTAGTATTGCTTTGAGTTTTCAATAAATTATCAGTTTGCAAAAAATCACTTTATCATTGCGTGAAAAATAGCCGTGATAGATTAAGTTGAAAGTTAATGCAATGATAACTATTTGTTAAAGTAGAATGGGAGCCAAATGACAATATTGTCAGCTAATATCTCATAGCTAAGGTAGAAACTTATCCTTTTGGATTCATAAAAATTGTGGACGAATTTGAATAACTTTTCATTTGAGACAAACACTTTTATCTCTCACTGCTTATTACTTAACTTTATCAGTATTGATATAATAATGTTCATTTATGAGATTATTGTTTTTTGCAGTTTTATGTAAAGTTATTATTGCATTCCTTATTAACACTGTAAGCAAATATGCAAGTTTTTTATAAATCTAGAGACAGTAATTAGCTTTAGGCAGACTTTTTCAAAGAATATAGAATAAAATGACGGCGAGGATCTTTTAAAAATTGTTATGTGCATTGATGAATATGCAAATTTAATTATATGTCTACGTGAAAGTAAAAGTTATATAAAGAAATTATGTATAAATATATGCTTACAAAATTGAGTCAACTTGGAAAGATGAAAAAGCAAACAGAAGCTAGCACAAAAACATTGAATTTAGTGGAAAAAAGTTTAGCTATGAGATATTAGCTGACAGTATCTCTTTTGCTCTGAAATTGCTAGACAATTGAATGCATTACTTTTGTTCTAAAATCTTGTTCGATTTCAAATTTAATTTTTTTTGTATAATAATTTTTTGGCATCACTTTTCTGTCTTGTTTATTCGCTTCAAATAAATCAAAAGAAAAATGGCAAATTTACGAAAAGATATGCGACACTAAACTGTTTCCTTACTCCATTTATCGTTCATTCTGATGCAGATTTTGCAGTGAGATAACAAGTTTCATAGTAACCGTTTGTTTCAAATTCAAAAATAACCCAACCACAATATTACTATTACCTGAAGTAAGCATTCGAGACTAGACTAAACCAAATGCCAAGGAGTGGACATATTGTTAGTGATTTGCATTACCACCAGAAAGGTCATAGGATGTCTCAGGCGCTACCAGACTCGTATTTCCTGAATTATGCTTCAGACAATTGTCATATTTCATCGGTAATTTTTCTTTTCTTATCAATTTGTCGTCTGCTTATGTAGATAATGTTAAAAATTTTTGATTATTCGTTTCAGCGTACTTTGCTACTGATTTTTACCATTGAAGTGGTTTTCCTTCTCTTTCTTTGTGTTGGATATATTTATCAAGGAGGCTCTTTACCCATCATTCTTACCTAATTTATGTACATGTACGCCTGAGATGAGCTGCTTTAGAATGCGTGGGTGGCGTGTCAGTTTTCCAATGAACTGTGCTTCGAACATTTCTTGGCGATCGGTGACGAAAATGGCTATATTCACGTATTAGATGTAAGAGAAGATGTCATCTCCAATTGTGAGTTATTTATTCTTTCAAGTGAATTCTTAGGAGTTATATAAACGCTTTATTATATTAAATCAGTGTTTGAATATATTTCTAACATAAGGTTTTGCTCTCTTTATTTTTACGTCTATCACTTGCAACTAAAAAGAGAACAAGATACAAATCAAGTACCAAAGATTATGAGGCTGAATATTTCTCATTGATTTTATAAACATTATTAACTTGTAGCATTTGCGGCTGATCGAAGTTGTGTTATCGATGTAGCATTTGTTCCCAATTTTCCAAATCTTCTCCTTTCAATTTCTGGTCATGCAAAAGTCGCATCCTGGGATATTGAGCGAAAAAAACTTTTGCAACTATTTACGGGACATGAAGGATCAGTTCGAGCTCTTACTGTATTCAGCAATAATCCTAGTTTGGTTTTTTTAATTCTAATTCTGTTATTTCGTATGATTCATGTTTGTGTTCTGAATATAATACGAATGGTTTTCAGATCTTTTTGCTACAGGAGCTCGAGATGGAACAATTTGCATATGGGATCGACGAGATTCTCATATTCATTCTTCGCGTCCGTATAACGTCTTGGAGGCTACACATCCTTTGCTTTCATCTCCTAGTAAATTTTGTAATTAACATTTATTGCCGTTTATAAATTCTCATCTTTTTCTTGACTGTATAAATATATATGCTTCTAGACCATAACTTTGGAATAAAACGGAGATCGCAGTTACCGCTTTCAACAAATTCAAAAGGAGTCACTTCTTTGATACATCATGATGGCTACACTTTGATATCAGCATCTTCATCTTTTAAAACGTATAATATTTTGTTTATTTAAGGTCCTAGTGATGATCGGGATATTTTTTACTGTAAAACTAATTTTTAAGTCATTTTCTTCACTCTTGTTGTTGCAGTGGCATTCGTTTCTGGGATCTTCGTTACCGTGGAAAAACTACTCCATTTCGTATTTTAGGAGATTCTAACAATACTTCATCTCGTGATTTTGGTATATTATTAAAATTTTTTATTAAATATGTGCAGCTGCTTTGAAAAAGATAAGAAAAATATCTTTTTAATGTTTATGTTTTTTCTGAAAAACTATCACAGCTCTTAATCTCTGTAACTTAAATTATGATTGTGATTCAGTTGGCATTCGAAACAAGTTTATTTACTTGCATTCTTACATTTCTTCATTGTATATTTCTAAGACTGAGTTATTCTTAGATAGTGTAGCATAATTTTTGAGGTATTGCATCTCTATGTCTTGATCGCTTCAACTCTTTACTTTTTGCTGCATCTACAGATTCAAAAATTTATGAATACAGCATTCAAGGATCAAAAGATTCACCTGGTACGTTCTTCGACTGTTATTTGCTCAAGATTGTTTTTATATTCATGATTCCACTTTTATGTGTAAAGAATCAAAATTTTTAATCTTTTCAGTTAACATCTTACAAGGAATTAAGCGTCCACCTTTCAATACATATGATTTTAAAATAGCTGCTTCACCGTTATCAGATCATGTTATGTTTGGTAGTGGTGATTGTTTTGCTGCAATTTGGGATTTGCAGGTCTTTTAATACTTAATTTTGCAAATTTTAGTCTTGAGCCTGTAATTTATGGTTGAGCAGCTTATATTCAAGCATGATTTATGCAATTAATTTAATTCATTGTTTATATCTTTAATTGGATGTTTCAGGAAAGATATACAACTTATAGCTCCGGAAGGTTAAACTACTTACCATACCCAAAATATACTTTGGGTGGTCATCGTTTCGAAGTGCGTTCATTTTCTGTTTAAACTCTTATGCTGTTTGATAATTTGTTCAGTTATCTTGCTATGAAGAACAGCATTTTAGCTACCGTATTGTAATCATAGCTTTTGTACCGCTCCTTAAATTTCACATTTGTGTTAAAAATTTCAAAAATCATTTGATTTCATTTAGGTTACTGTGGCGAAATTTAGCTGTACTGCACGTTACATCTCAACAATGGACGATTCGTATTTGAAAATCTGGAAATGGAAGGAAAAGAATATTGATAATGAGGAGCTTTCGCCACTTTCAATACATCATGATCGAGTTGAATTATATGAATTGCCAGAAACATTTATTGCTGAAAATTCCATGTATAAATTATATTAATTGGTTTTTATTCTCTCGTCATTATTTAGTTATAATGAGATTTGAAAAATTTAGCGAGGAGAAAAACGGAAAATGAATATTAGTGAAAAGTTCTAACTAATTTTTTGTAATTTATACAAAAAATCTTCATTAACAACTAATTTGTTCTGAAATATAACTACTTTTCCATCTCATGATATCCGGAATGTAATTCTTATAGGAAAGTGCTGAACGTGTCACCTTCGACTTCGCAGAAGAATTTAAAAAGAAGTCCTTTCAAAAGTCCATTTAAAAGTCCTTTGAACCATTTGAGTCCTAGCTCAAAGACGGAAAGTGGATCACCTGTGAAGAAAATATTTAGGTATAGTAAATTTTGCTGGTTTTTTTTTAGCTATTGCACAAGTGTTCAGAAAATTTTAACGAAATCTATGTATGTTGTAATTAAATGTTTTCTCGTTATTTATATTTAAGAGCTGACGAATCCCCACCTTTGAGAGATTTAACGAATAAATCAAGTCAAGTTTCTCAACAACTTGATTCTTCAGAAAGTGATGACAAAAAGAAGCCAGCAATCTGTGCTTTTCATTATAAGTTTGTATTTTGGTCTTCATTTTATGCACGATCAACGAGTATGTTTGTGTAGAAATCTTTTTCGAGTAAGCAGTGTATTTTGACAAAAATTTCCGTAAAACATTTCTTTAGTGATCTAACTCTAACTTATACAAAAGTATGATTTATTTCAGATATCCAACGATGCATTTACCAAATTCTGTGAAAGACAGAATAAATGCATTGAAAAAAAATTCCACCATAATCACATCAGATGCAGAGGGAAGTTCGACATCCTCGTTAAATCCAGATCAGTTAGTTTATTTAATTCACCATCATATTCGCATTCATTATTTTCAAAACAATTTAAAACTGAAGCAGTATTATACAGCGTAATTGTTTTTCTACTTATTTTTCAGTTTTCATTAACTTTCATCTTTAATCAGGACTTCAAGCTGTTTAAATATAAGGTTCATGAAAGGTACATGTTGATAGCATATGTGCTCATTAAATTAATATTAAATAGGGCTTTAGTAAAGCTCTGAAAGCAATAAAATCACCAGCAATATCTGACACTTTGAGTCAAGGTTGTTCGCATTCTAGGAATTCATCGCTTTTCAGCAGCCAGGTCACATCGGAACGAAACAAAAAAATTAGTGTACAGCGAACAATCGACCATTACTTTAGCAAGATACCAAAAACTTCTTGATGTTTTTTTAAAAATAAAATGGCACGAAATAAAAGTAGTGATTCTTATTGCAAGTTTTTTGAAAAATCTTATTTCTTATTGTCCCAACTTGACATTTTCTGATTTCATTCAAACTTGTAAATAATTGTCCTTACTTAGTAGTTAATATTATTTTCAAAGATATGGTTGTTATTTTCCAATTTTATACAGGTTCTTTACTTGCTTGTTGTCAGTTTCGACAAATATTAGAAAGGTATTAGTTATGTTCAGATCTCTCTTGTATCCCATCACAATTCGCTTCGTAATTCACTCACTGAAATACTTTCACTTAATGATATTCGATTACCACCAAATTTTTCAATTTTCAATTACTGATATGTGTCCAATTATTGACATGCTCATGTACTTAACAAACTATCAACGTGTTAGAGCATGATCTCTATCTGTTGCAAATTTTTGTCTTTCTTTTTTACAAATTGTTATTACATCTGTCTTATCTACCTAAACATAAAATTATAAGATCTAGAATACATTGTTGGGCTGTAACTGTTTCAGATGCTTATGGTCTACTTGAGCATCATGTAGTTGTGAAAAGTCTTTGAACAATTTACTAAGAATGAGTATCAAATATTTTAAAATTAGTTGTAATTATTTATTCTGCACTATGATTTGAGAGCGTAAGTCTGTATGAAGAAAGTATGTCAGCAAATATTGTTTTTATCATCTTAAAGTTGAATTAGATTAGTGCAACACTCTAGTATCACTTCTCCTGAAAATTAAATTTTGTGAGAGTAAGGTCCTGTAAATTTTCTTGTTTGAATACATCTCGTTTTATTGGTTTTAGGTTATCGTTGTTTTATATATATTCTATGCATTTGTAGAAGTTCAAAGTTCACTATGTGGCTTATCGTTGTTGGCACTATTTATTCCTTGATAAGTCGTTTTGTTAAAATATGCAATGTCATGTATGTCAATTCATAAAAGAACAATAAAAAAGCATTCTTTTATCTTTTAGTTGAAAGTTAATGGCAGAATTCAAGCATGGAATGGCAGGATTTGAAGGAGTGAAGTAATTATTGAAACTTAAGTGTAGCTTAAACTAGTAGACTTATCAGACTGTGTTATCAGGAAGACTTTAGTACTTAAAAAATATTATTAAAGATGGTGGGTAGCTTTAAATTGTGAAGGCGGACATACTACGGTCACTCTAAGTTTCTCCTTTTAACCTTGTCATTTACAAAGCAAGCAAGTTAGCAAGAGATAGATTAGCAAATTTTAAAATCGTTTAGCGATTATCATAGCCTATTAATAACGTGAAATCAGGCAAAGATTTTCAAGGAAATAATGCGACTGAAAATAACTTCTTCATATGTAAATTTGCATTGACTATGATTTGTGTGAGTTTGCGTAATGTGTAGTTTGTAAACACGTAACACAACAAAGCAGACGAAACTGTTTTGACTGGCAAAATTCTTGTAGTTTCTCATGCGGTAGTTTACGGCACATTGAAGGATTCAAATCTGCGCAGTCTAAAATTTGAGTATTCATAAAAACAATGATGCATAGATGTCTGGCCATGTTTTCATTGAAGAATACAGATTCTGAATAATCGTATGATTATTTTTCGATAAGTAGTTGAGAAACTTTTGGCTAGCTATTTGCTGAGAAAGTTTGTGCGTTGTATTTAAATATATATGCAAATTATTGACCAGAAAATTTAAATCTAATTCATTTAAAATTATTTGTACTGTTAAAAAGAAATATTCGAAATTAATAATTTAATATAGACTGATTGTGAATGCTGGAAAAGTAACAACCATTGGGTTTCTGATTTTAACAGTATTTGAGTAAGTCTAGCAAATGTTACCTTCTTTATCCTTGTCATTTGTCACACAAATTCCCCCAAGACACCACTACAATTAATTATTGTTAATAACACAAAGCTATCTGTTACTAAACTTAAGCAAAACTTCAACTAATTTTTAGCGTAGTCTGAATTCTTGTAATTTGAAAATTTATTTGATACCTTTAGTAAATTCATTTTAAAATTTCTTCACTTCAATATTTATTTTTAGTCCTCAGCAAAAATTGAACTTATGGTTGAATATTTCTAACCTTGTCTGGACCGCACTTTGTTCCATCAAGTAAAGGTAGGTAAACTTTTGTTTCGCATGGACTTGACCTTCGCAATCGTCGATTTTTGCACCATAACCGTTGACAGGGATCTTTTGAGGCATATTCTTTTCTCTCAAATTTAATAAATTTTTCAACTAAAAACTTCAAAAAGTTTATTTTAAGATAAAAATTGGCTGATTTAAGCTGTGAATTCTGAAAAAAATATTTAAAATGAATGAGTATTAAAGAAATGTCGGAAAATAATGTATATAATTTTTTACAGTTTCAATAATTTTCAGCTAATATTAATTTTAATTTACTTACTGATAACTTTTTTATTTGACTTTATTTCATTTTTATTTATATTAACAATAATTAAAAGTTTAATTACTGGACAAACACTGTAATGAGATCCAAATGCTATCTTGCACTGATTCTGTCGCACTAGTAATTCACCAGGTTTACGATGACGCCGTTGAGACGTCCTTCGCAATCGCCGCTCGCGACTTTTTGATCGCAGCAAGCAACCAGCATTGCCATTTCTGTAAACCTTCCCACTATATTTTTTTGCGTAAAAAATTGGTACATTTTAAAAAATTGTGATTAAATGAGTGCGTATCTTAATGATATGTTTATTATTTATTTTTGTCAGCTTTTCAAACTTTTTAATTTGTACAAAATTTTTTCTCTTAAGTTTTTTAAAATTAAAAAAAAAAGTAATACTCAAAAAAAGATTGTATT